GCCTCCTCTGAGTCTCGTACGCTGTTCTCTTTCCTTCTAGTTGAAGAATTTCCCCTCAGCCAGTCTTCCTGTGGTTCTGGGATGTCCGTTCGCTCAGAATCTGAGACTCCCTCCCCATTGAAAACGATAACCACGCCCTCAGCTACCAGCCCGCTCCGGCATACCTCTGCACCTTTATATTTTCTGCACTGCGCCTCCTCTGAGTCTCGTACGCTGTTCTCTTTCCTTCTAGTTGAAGAATTTCCCCTCAGCCAGTCTTCCTGTGGTTCTGGGCGATGTCCGTTCCGTCTTTTAGTTGTATTTTGAAGTGGTTGTTTGAGGCAGCAAACTCCGGTGTTTACCTTGCCATCTTGGTTTCTCCTCCCCTAGAATTTCTTTATGTAAATATAAGCAAATATAAATATATATTTTTATTTTTCCATTTTATTACAGTATATCACTGTTCTGTACTTTTAAAAAATTAGTATATCTTAGAGATCTTTCTGTCTTCGTAAATAGAAAGCTTCCTTGTTCTTTTGTTGTTATATCTGCATAGTATTCCATTACATGATGTACCATCATTTATTTTTCCAGTCCTCTGTTGATGGACCTTTGTATTGCTTACAAATTCTTGTTATTACTAATGATGCTACAATAAATTCATATATATATAATTTTATTCCCTGGCATTAGATCAAAACAGATACCCAGAAATGGGATTAGAGGGGTCAACACGAGTAGTTTGATGGGTATTATCAAATTTAACTATGAAGGAGGCACCAATTTTTATTTCCATCAGCAATATGAGATTTTTGCCACCCTAAGACATGATGAGGCTGTTTTCTAATTAACTATCAAAGATGGCTTTATAGTAATAGTAACCAGTGCATTTTTAGGCCTCTTTTCCAAATTTACAAAGAGCTTTCTTATCCATTATGTTAAAATAATAACTAATATTTATTTATTAATAATAACTAATACATTTACATAGTATCAGGCATTTTGGTGGCCATTATGTTTTTTAAAAATTTGGTTTTTAGAGAGAGAGGAAGGGCTAGGGATAGAGAAAAACATTGATGTGAGAGAAACATCATCAATCAGCTGCCTCCTGCATGCCCCCTACTGGGGATCGAGTCTGCAACCTGGGCATGTACCCCGACCAGGAATCTAACCAATTGCCTCTTGGTTTATGGGTCTGTGCTCAACCACTGAGCCACAAGGACAATGCTGGTGGACATTACAGAATGGAGGTTAAAAGCAGGGTAGAGTCAAACTAACTGAATCTGAAACTTAGCACTAGCACTTACCAGCTATATGAGCAAGTACTTAATGTCTATATACATATTCCCTTACTTGAAGAACTGAAAGATTATAATGTACCCATTGACAACCAAGGGTTGGATGGTTGTTGGCACCAATTCAGTCAACAGGAATCCCCAATTAGGCATGTGGTGAGGAAGGAGCTTTTATTCAGTGCAAACAGCCCAACTGTGACACAGCATGGCTGTGGAACAGCTCCGTAGCGTTTCAGCTGCAGTCGGGGAAACACAGTGGTCAGTGGAAAGTGTGCTTCCACAGACAGAGGGGAGCTAACTTATATAGACAGAAGTCCCTGCCTCTGGTCCCTGATTGGTCTATCCTCATGCAAATGAAGATTCCAAATCCTCGAAGTTTGATTGGGCCAAAAGACACTGTCCTGATTGGTCAGAATGAATCAGTTCTGATTGACCGGTGAAGATGTTGATGGGGAATATAGCTGCACAGGTAGGATTGGCTCAAGTGACAGGAGCACATTGCAGGCAGGCAGTTCAGTGCTGGAGGCAGGTAGCTGAATGCAGGCTTCTCCCTGAAGTGAGGTTTGCATAAGACGCCTAAGTTTAGAAATGGCTGTGTGTGTGTGTGTGTGTGTGTGTGTGTGTGTGTGTGTATTTAAGGAAATTTGAGCCCAATTGGCCACCAGGAGCCCTTCTTAGTAGGTATCTTTTTTCTTAGTGTCCACACTACCTTGGTAGGCACTGTTGTAAGGGTTAAATGCTACTGCATGTGAAGTACCTAAAACACTACCTGACACATGCAGAGTCAATATATGCTGTTACTGTTCTTTCTGGACATTTCCTACAAGGCAGGTTGTATTGTCCCCACTTTATACTTTATCCAGGAGTAAAATGACATATAGAAGGATTGGGTCATAGAATTGGTAAGGGAGGAGTTAAAAAATATCTGCTTCTTCCTAGCATCCCATTGGCCCTATAGGTTACTTGGGTTTGCAAGTATGTGCTGGGTGCTAAAGTTGCAAATTAACAACCAGCTTCAGCGGTTCTCAACCTGTGGGTCGTGACCCCTTTGGCGGTCGAACGACCTTTTTACAGGGGTCGCCTAAGACCATCCTGCATATCAGATATTTACATGACGATTCATAACAGTAGCAACATTACAGTTATGAAGTAGCAACGAAATAATTTTATGGTTGGGTCACAACATGAGGAACTATATTTAAAGGGCCAGAAGGTTGAGAACCACTGAGCTAGCTGGTAAGGGAGGGACCATGTATGTCTATACAGGGCTGGCTTTGTGGCTGCTGTGACCTGTGAGGTTATAATGCTCTGTCTTGAAATTCTTAATGATTTTTAAGGAGGGGCCCCACATTTTTATTTCCCACTGGGTACCAAAATTATGTAGTCAGTCCTGTGGACATATATGTCATATTTTTAGTATAACTTTCATTGATATAAAGGATGTGTAGCATACAACTTACAAATAATAAAATACACAATATTTTTAAAAATACGTTTTTATTGATTTTAGAGAGAGAGGAAAGAAGAGAGAGAGAGAGAAACATCGATTGGCTGCTTCCTACATGCCCCCTACTGGGGACTGAGCCTGCAACCCAGGCATTAGCCCCGACTGGGAATCGAACTGGCAACCTCTTGGTCCATGGGACGACACCCTACCAACTGAGCCACACCGACCAGGCAGTTTTAGTGGTTTTAGACTTTCTTGGTTGCAAGAATCAGAAGCCAGCTCGACAGTTCAGGTCAAAAGGTCATAAGCGCAGGTTTGGAGCTGGAGCTCAGAACCGCCTCGAGTCAGGGCCCAGCACCTGGGCCCTCAGGGCTGCTGTGTCCTTAGACAGTCATCGCGGGGCAATGCCTGCTCGGCGGGTCCCGGGTTGGTGGTGGGGTCTTACGTCACATCATGAGGATCTGCTGGGAGATGTGCTGACTTTGGAGACCACTGCTGAGTGCACAGCAGGCCGACAGATCAGCCTCCATCAGTGTGAAAGCACCACTGGAATATTTCCCTTACTGTTTGACTACAGTTTCCTGCTTTAAGATTAGTAGGGGATGTACAGGAGACAGCCGATCCATGATGTTTCTCTCTCATTGATGTTTCTATATCTCTATCCTTCTCCCTTCCTCTCTCTCTCAAGTCAATAAAAACATTAAACAAAAACAAATGTGAACAACCTAAAGAGCACAAATGGTAAAATGTAGTAATGAGGAAGTAATGAGCTTAGAGTATTTGTTAATTTTATTTTAATACTAGGGGCCCAGTGCACAAATTCGTGCACCTTGAAAGGAACTGTGGGCAGCGAGGCTGCAATGGGCAGAGGGGTGGGTCTCGGCCCATCCTCTGTGCCCCTGCTTGGCTCCTCCCACCACGGCCCCCGGTCACCTGTCTGCTGGCAGCCCCGCTCCCACCGCTGCTGCTCCCAAGTGCTGACAGCGCTGGCCCTGCTCACACCCGCTGATGGCACAGAGCAACTGGGGCCAGCACCAGCAGTGGGTGCAAGCAAGGCCGGTGCTGTCAGAGAGTGCAAGCGGCGGCTGCTGCCCTGATTGCCCCCCAGGAACAGGGGGAGGTGAAGAAGCCCGCAGGGGCAATCGGGGTCAGCAGCCACCACTCGCACCTGCTGACGGTGCCGAGCGATTGGGACCAGCTGCGGGTGTGAGCGCCGGCTCAGGTGCTGGCAGCAGGTGCGAGCAGGGCTGTTGCCTGAAGCCGGTGCCAGCGCCAGGTCGGACTGTGGCACGTGGGAGCAAAGAACTTTCAGTAACCACCAGAGGCTCACCCGATGACAGCAACCGGGGCCCCGCCTTGATCTGGTGCCCCCACTCACCAGCTCCACCATCCCACCACAGCCGAAGCCCACCATGCCCCGTGTACGCCCCCTGGTGGTCAGCACACGTCATAGTGACCAGTTGTTTGGTTATTCTGCCTTTGGTCTATTTGCATATTAGGGATATATATATGTATATGTGTGTGTATATATATATGTATATATATATACACACACATATAGATAGTTACCTAACTGTACTAGTAACTTTGTGTAGTTTAATTTTTAATAATGGCTGTTCTTAGTGAGTGCTCACAAAACTCCTAAAAATTTAACAACCAACTCTCCAAACTCTTAAAAATTTAACAACCAACTCTCCCAGTCAGAAGGAGCTTCTGAAGCTCCCAGAAGGTGGGCAATGAGAGCCGGCAATGAAGACACCCAGCCGGCCATCTAGTCGGGTGGGAAGGGCAGTTATTCGTGTGCTATGAGTAGGCAGGCCAGTTTACGCCATTGGAAGTTGCACAATAGAAAGTGAGAGTTTTTGCTGTCGTGATTATTATTAGAGTTAATTTCTTAGACATCATTTACCGTTTCAGAGCTTCAAGTTTCTCATTTGAAAAAATCGGGGATAATGATACTTTTCTTACCTCCTCAATACGCTCCCTAACTTTTGTTGGTTTTGTTCATTGCTGCGTACAGTAGTGCGCCTACTGCATGGAAGCAATGAGTGCGTCCTATTTGGTGCATGGAAGCTCTTGGGAAGTCGAAAAGCCACACGCATTGTGGCGGATCGCGTGATGCTAAGCGAGGCTGCATTCAGCGGGTCTCCCAGCAGCTGCGGGGCGCACACCTGGGAGAGAAGGCTGCCCCGCCC